GAACTAAAAAATAATCCAATTAACTAGCAAACACAGAATTATATTTAAAGGTCAAAGCAAAATAGAAGTTCATCAATCCTCAGGCAATACCATCTTTTCACCTCAGTTTTAGCAGAGTTAGTACTGTTCAGGTTATTACTCTACCGTAGATGACAGGCCTCCAAAGCTGGTAACAAAAGAGAACACCTGCAGCCAGCGGGACCACGTGGCAGAGTGGGAGGTCAATGGGCCAGAATGAAGGAGTGGCTCCAGGGACAGCCTCGCGGATGGCCTTGAGCAGGCAGTCCACTCCGCCTCCTACACACGTGCCTTCCTCTGGGACTAGGCAGTATGGTATGGTAGGACGAGAGGGAATGAGCTAGGCATACGAGATCTTGCTTTAAGACACTACCAGCCACACGGACTCTGTCAAGCCAGCCTCTCTGCCTCTCATTTTCACTGTAAAGGGGACTAAGAACCAAAAGTTTAGACGACCTGCATGCTCCAGAATGATTTCATGCCCCATGATTGTCATGTTTCCCTACTTCTAAGAAATTTTTATTGCAGATCAAACGAGAATGTATATGAAAGCACTTCATAATTTTTTTTTTTTTTTTTTTACAAACACAAGTTACTCTTATTGTTTTAGAGATTTTCTTCGTTATACTAAAGAAGTACAGAGACACTTCTGAGATGTAGTATAACATGTTCTCTACATGGTGAGGCATGATGAGCTATAACCTACAGTTTAACGTAAAATGTTAAAATTATAATTTTGTTTTGTTCCCCCCAGCTTTAATAGAGTATAATTGACAAATAAAATGATAAACTTTTCTTTCTTATAAAAGTTATTCGGGGAGATATTTTTTTTGGGGGGGAGAGATTTGTAGTTTTAATTTTAACAGAATTAACAGAACTGGCTGATTTATTACTTTATAACTAAGAACCTAGAGTAATAATCTAACAAATACTTCTTGAAATAAGGATCTCATACGGGTTGTATCCAGCTTTGAGCGCCTGGATGTCTCAGTTGGTTGAGTGTCTGACTTTGGCTCAGGTCATGACCTCATAGTTTGTGGGTTCATGCCCCGCATCAGACTGTACTGACAGCTCAGAGACTGGAGCCTGCTTCTGATTCTGTGTCTCCCTCTCTCTTTGCCCCTCCCCCACTTATGCTCTCTCAAAAATAAAAAACATTTAAAAAAAAAGTTGTATCCAGCTTTATTTCCTGTCTGACCCATCCATCACTCAGTTACCAGATGTGTTTTTTAAAAACACATTTTATCATATCTCTTTCATATTCCTACCTTTGGATAGCTCTATTTTACATAGAAAATAAAATAAGAACTCCTCAGTAGGACACAATTTGACCCCCATCTACCTTCGCAGATTCAGTTCTTCTTAAGCACATTCACCTCAGCATTTCTTCCAGCTAACTAAGAGTCAACCCCTCTAGCCAAGCGAAGCTGTCCTTAAAGCACAAGTCTGGTCATTTGCTTCTTGTCTCGCCTGGAATGGCCCCTAAGCCCCCAGCAGCTGAAGAGGCCAACATGAAGACAGAGGCATGATCCTGCAAGGTTTTATAAGACAGGGTAGGGACTCTGGGAATCATTCTAATTGTGACAGGAAGTCATTTAAGAGGTTTAAGCAGGGAAGTAACATGGTCAAATTCATTTTTCAAAGAATCATGTTGCTCTGGGGAGAATAAGCTAAGAAACAAGAGTGGAGGTGTAGGAAGTGGTGGGGACAAAATCGACTAAAATTTTGCTTCTAGTTTTACCTAAACAACTGGGTGAATGTGGCTGGAGTGCTGGGACTGGGAAGCCTTGGTGTGTGTGCAGGAGGGAAAGTAGAGGTGGAAGGAGGGGTTTATGGCGTAAGTTCTACTTGGACACAGAAAATCTGAGAAAACTCTTAGTTGCTATCTCTATTCCAGTCCCACTTTGCTTACACTGTGATTTTATAATCTATCTCATGTGGACATAATTTGTTCCAAGCTCATTACTCTTTCCAGTCAGACTGTAAGCTGCTTGAGGGTGGAGACCATAATATTTAGTCCATTTAGGAGAGGATAGCAGCACTCTCAACAATAGCCAAAACATGGAAAGAGCCTAAGTGTCCATCAGCTGATGAATGGATCAAGAAGATGTGGTTTATCTATACGATGGAATACTACATGGCAATGAGAAAGAACGAAATCTGGCCATGTGTAGCAATGTGGATGGAACTTGAGGGTGTTATGCTGAGCAAAATAAGTCAGGCAGAGAAGGACAGATACCATACGATTACACATATAGGTAGATTAGGAGGAACTTAACGGAGGACCATGGGGGAGGAGAAGGGGAAAAATAGTGGGGGAGAGGGAGGGAGGCAAACCACGAGAGACTCTTAAATGCTGAGAACAAACTAAGGGCAGATGGGGTGGGGGGAGGGGAAGGGGTGTGATGGGCATGGAGGAGGGCACTTGTTGGGATGAGCACTGGGTGTTATATGGAAACCAACTTGACAATAAACTATTTAAGAAAAATTAAAAAAATAAAAAAAGATAGGATCTTCAACAATAGAGTCACTTACAATGCTTGTAGAATGAAAAAAGGTACTGTTCTAGAAACTCTGAGGAATGCAAACCAATGAAGAAAAAGTAGTAGTTTCCCTTACCTAGAACTTACCCTGAATAAGGATTAACAGAAGTTACTACAGACCATAAACCTGCTTTGGAGTCTAGCCTTCCAGCACTGAAACTCATATAGAACATAAATCAAACCAACCTGTGCTCTTCACCCTTCTAGCATGATGGCTAAAGAGCCCATCCTGATCAACTGTGTGTTAAGAAGCTTTTCTTTATACTGTACAAAGCCAAACGTCTACAGATATGACTTGAATATTTACATAGGCTTTCAAGTATAATTTTTATTTTTAAACTTTCTATCTACATTTGTTTTTGTAGTCCTATATTTTAGATTCTAATAGAAAACACTTAACTATCCCTTTTTAAAGCTCATTTGAATACTGGATAGAATCATAGAATTTTTAAGACAGAAACTCACTAACTCCAGAGCCCTCATTTATCTCATTTATCTGTAGGGATGAGAAAACTGAGGCCTAAAAAAAATTCTTGAGATTCTACAGTCATTTAGAAATGGAGCCAGATGTGGAAACAAGTTCATCTATTTCTTACTGCATAATTTTTTCCCCACAAAGACAGACTTCTTAATGAACAAAATGGATTAATTTGGCCATTTTGCAATGGACTACATATTATGCTTTTATAATTTTTCCATATAGTAATATCTCAACAAATTTTATAGGAAGGCTATGCCTTAAAATGAGGTCAGGCATATTAATAACTGAAACAAGTGAGCAGTGTTACCATCTATCATATGGTTTAATGGTAATGTTTTTAAGATAGTGTATACACAGAGACAAGAATGATATAAATGTTACACTCAAGGCCATGGAAAGCTGAAGGTAAATGGACCAAATCCTATGTATAACAGTAAAGTCTGAAAGTCTTGCCTTTATCATATCTGGCCTTCCCTTTTTATTTGTCTCAGGGGTAATCCTTGTTTCCATTTCAAAAGGCTTCCTATCTATCCTTATTTTTCCCTTTATGGAAAAGGGAAGAAGTCTATATCTATCATCTTCACTTTGTTGGCTAACACTACTTGAATGAATTTTAATCAATATATGATTACCTAAACCAGACTTCTACATTCTACACCTCTGATTCTGAACCATCTCGATGACAGGAACCAAGTGGTAGAGACAAGTTCTTTCTCTCCTAGTCATTAAAATGACATGATATGAGGGCAAACTAACAATCTTCTTAGGGTGTAAAGATTAAGAGTCTAAAGGGGTGGTATTTGGTGTGCCCTTTATTGTGTCTAAGAATGACCAATGCCATTGTTCCAATTTCTGGCACACATCTGAAACACTAGAAACTTAAAATTTCTAAGGTTTGAGTTAACTTATAGTGACTCGCAATTAGAATTAAAAGTATTTTCATAGCTAGCATTAATAAGTATGTTATATTCATATGGTACCTGATGCTTACAAAATGTTTTCACATGCTGTGTGATTTGAACTTCAACAATATCTAATGTAAACATTACTTCCACTTTTCAAATGAAGACTTAAAGTTCTCATATAATAAGAGTAATAAAAGGCACAGCCAGGACTGATTATAAGAATTGTTCATTCAAGTATGGTCGTACTGTAATGTGTAACTCATACAGCAATATTAAAATGCAACAATATTAAAACAGCTTACATATGTAAACTCCAAATACTTTTAAAGTACAAAAGTAGTATTGTCCCTGAATTTATAAATATATTATGTTAATCTTTTCAAGCTCAAGTTTCTTATTATAATCTCTTTGTCAAAGATAATCATTTTATTATTCCCAACTATCTCATCTTCCTAAAACAGTAGAAAATATACTGTCAAAAGAGTTTAATGAACAGAAATAGTCACCTTTAATTACTCAAAATATACATTTTTCACCTTGATACTTTTTCTTTGACATCCTTTGAAAATCTTATTCAAATAAATTTAAAACATTAGTCTAAAAATTTGCAACTGTACAGTTCATTTCAACTCAGTGATTTATGTAGATTTTTATATCCTGTTTCTTCCCAAATGTATTCTACCTTGGATTTCCTTGAAATTATAAAATGGGATTATCCATCAACTATGGTTCTTTAATCCAAGGGAAACTGAATCAGATTTAATATTACACATGTTTAAAATGCACATGTGTTGTTGCTACTTTAAAATTATTTTCTGTTCAGTAAAACAAGCTTGAGAGTTATCTACTATTATAAAGTTGCCAGGTTCAAATTTGCTTCTGAAATAACTTCAGTGATTTTAAAGAAAAAAAGATGCTAGAATATAATTCAAATATGAGAAGTGACCATTACAATGCTATGAACTGTATTTCTGAAGTGAAATAAATGACATTCTATAAAAAAAAAAAATTGAAACATTTTAAAGAATACTCAAAATAGGAAAAGGGGCTCACCGGTCTGAGTGAAACCAAACTGATGGAGAATCTGATGAGTGGCCAGCATGTCTGACTGCTTTAGTTTAGATGCCTGTGAGGAGGCTGGCGTTGAAGTCAACGAGAGATTTTTGTTGACCTGTAATAGGAAAGGCAAATCAGAACCAAAGTGTAATTTCCTGGGTTACTGATGCAAAACTGGATGAGAAATATTTGCTTACAATGCAAACCAGGACGCAAGGTAGGTCAAAACAAGTGGTAATGATTTATATGCTTAGTTTTTAAAGTTTACAAAACAGAGTAGCTTTTATTAAGGAAGGAATACAGTGGTAATGAAAGCAGAACTATATGAAAGTAAATCTGCCTTACTAAAACAAACGTGCTTATCATGGAATTGACATTATTAATAACTTAGAGTGGTCTTAAAAGTTATGCAAAGACATGCAAAAATTAAAAATGACACCGCCCATTTAATTTTCAATTAAGGAAGTTAAAATGTTTCACAGCCACATTTCTTTAGCATTTTGTGAAATAGCAGGTACTTCCTTTTCAGAGATTGCACAGAAAACACCTGTAATATTCATGTTTACATACATCATGGTGACACAGGTAGCACAGCTGTAACCTAACTGGCCAAGTGGAATAGTTTCCACTGTCTGAATACAATGGTCTTCTAAAAATGAAATGTTAACAAGTACAACATTATAATAATAACTTTTGCAGGGAAATAAAGAACAGGTCATCCAATGTGTTAAAGGTATATTAGTAAATTCATCTTGTAACTTATAATGAATTTCAGCAATGATCTAATCTCTTGTTTGTTATTAGTAAATCATTATACCTTTATTATTTTTTGAAATAACTTCATTTTCAGAAATCATGATAAAATGTGATCTAATTCTGAAAATTTTCAAAGATTGAATTTCTAATTTATTGTAAAACATAATCTCTGAATTGCCAAACTGTTAAATGATAGTTTATGGCATATCAATACTAATATATGAAAATAGCTGCCTCCTCTCACTCTTTTTAAAAAATAATCGAAATCACGCAGAGGACTACTACTGTATTAGCATTAAAAAATTCCCTTTTGATGTTCTACATAGCAGTGGATTGTGGTTACTACATGTCCTTTATCTGACTCATCATTCGTATATTGTTTGTAAATGCTTCTCTTCTTTCAAATAGTGATAGTAAATGGTATATCTTAGATTAAGCTTTTCTTCTAAAGCAAAGGGTTTTTACATATTTGGTAAAAAAAAAAAAAGTCCATTAATTAAGACCATATGATAGTATAGCTTTGAAGTTTGTAAACTGTTGTAATTTTATAAAAAACAAAAATATTTTTCAAAATAGATGAGGTCAAATACCACATTGGTGCTAAAAAAAATTACCCAGCTTTAAAAATTCTATCAGGAGCCATGATTAAACACTGAGCAACATTAACAGTGACTATTTACATTAATACAATACCTAAAAGTGCCAATGAAATCATCTCACATTTTTTGAGTTTTATTCACATCTTTAAGTGCAGATAATAAAAATAGTATGCATGCTTCAATGGGAATGTGCTGGAGAGGCAATAAAGATGAACTGGTATTATAAAGTGCTATTCACATATGTGAAACATAAAGCACTAAATAACATATTAAAGAAAAAAAATAGATGAAATGGAGTATGTTGGCAAAGGGAAGCCATAAAGCGCTATACTAATTACTAACATCACTAGAAGTAAGAGTAATTAGGAATATGTAATTTAGTATAATGATGCAGTAAATTTTTCACAGTCGTTTGCTTTTAAATGGAAATACTATATACAGTGATATATATTTATCACTTAACTATTTAATCCACTTCTCTTTTTAGAATCATTTTCAGTTTTACTTCTGTGTTCTTAAAAGTTTTTTCCTACATGTCAAACAATGCATTTTGAAATCTGGTCCAAAGGAAAAAGTGTATGCTGGGACACACACACACACACACACACACACACAGATACACACACACAGACATACACACATATACGCATATTACAGGCTTTTTAGTCTTCCTCTTCAAATATTTACTTGTGCTAAAACCAAAAAGAACACTGGGGAACCTAGAATAGGATACTTCAATGTCTCTGTTCAAACAGAGAGACTTCACGCATTCTTCCTAAGCTTTTTAAAAATTGTCTTCTTTCTCAACACATTTCTTTACAGACTAATACCTATGAGGTGGTAAGTGGCAACATACAGCAGATTTCTAAGATTTTGGATAGGTGTTAATTATTGTAGTGACTTGAAATTAGCACTCCAAGTATTTTCAAAGCTAGCCTTTATCTATTCACTACTTTACTTAAGGGGAGAAAAATAATAATAGAGTGAACTTCATTAACTAGAGTGAAGCAATATCTATTTTTGAAATACATGCTGTGGAAAAGAATTGCTTAATAGTTTTACAACAACAGAAAGGTTGGCTAAGATAGTCTACCCTACACAAATCTACCCTCTTTTCACAACACACTTTTCTGCTTGCTTCATGAAAAACCACAGTCTGCCAAAGTCAGTTTAATAACTCCAAACTGGGAAGAACTAAAAGCATAAAAATTTAATGAAATTCGTAATAGAAAAAAGGAAAACATATCACCTGAACTTCTGCCAAGTTAATCACAAAAATGCTTTTGCTTACTCTTTCTGAATATAAGCAGCTTTGTGCAAAATATGCAAATACTAATTCTCTAGGAGGAGGTTAATTTTCATATTAAAAAAGTCATTACTCTGACCTCAAATTAAGTGCACAACACTAAACAAGCTAACAATTAATTTCCTTTTTCGTGATTAGCTAAACTATGAAAACTTTGGGAGATACATAACACTCATTTTCATATATATTTACAAACCTAATCATTTTAGCTGATTTTAGATTATATGGTACATTTACATGCAGAATTGTTCTTAAAATTTCAAGCTGTGGAGATACTTCAGATTGCTTTTAAATTATAACCTGAAAGATGATAATATGGTCTATACACTTATGTTTGCAAATTTGTCCCTCTTCTTCCTCCAGAAGGCTGTCTATTTTTTTTTCCATTACCTTGGGACAATAACGCAGATAATACTTTCATTTGAAGACAGGTCTGGTTGCAAAAAAAAAAAAAAAAAAAAAAAGAGTCTAATACCCAGGAAATATTCTGTTGCAAATCGAATGTCTGTTATAAAAATAAAGAACAAGTGAAAGAGACAACTTGGGCCACAGTGAGATTCAAGGCAACTGAAGTCAGGTATCTTAACATTCTCATACTATAAATTAAAGCAGTTGAGTTCCTGTGATTTCTAGGCTAGTTAAACCTAACAAATGAGAAGCCCATGGTGTCATAAAGAGAAATTCAAACATGAGCTCTAGGTTCCTAGGTATTTTCCACATAAGCTACCACAGTGAAGTGAGGGATCAGGAAGAAACAGTGTTCCTGCTGAAGAGAATTTCTACAGTGGGGTAAGGTGCCAGGAAGTGCCAAATCAGTTCATCACTGCTACATGAACTAAAACCAGAATTCAAATTTGAATCATTCATAACGAAGTTTTATTTTGAAGTATTTAATCAAGATTTTGTGAACCTCTGATATATATACCAAGGACTGGTAGTTCAAAGATAAGTGATACGATTCCTCTGTGCAAAGCTTAAAATTAAGACATAGTGCTGGTTCAAACCATTTATCCAACAACGTGCCCTTTGTCAAAGTCAATTTATCTCAATGTATTTTGGTTTTCTCCAACCTTTATCTCCTTTCTCCGTATATTTCCTTATTTCACAGAAAAAATTTGCTCTTTGACCCTCTGAAACCCTCATTTTTAAACCTCTCAAAGAATATAGCTCTTATATCCACCCTCACCTCTTTTCTTCTAGTGCCCTTCTGTTAAGATTAATCCCTCCATCTGTTTCCTTGGGGATACTTTTTTTTTTTTAAGGTTTATTTATTTTGATAGAGAGTGAGAGAGTGTGTGTGTGGTAGCAGAGAAAGGGAGAATCAAAATCTACCCTAACAGCAGGGTGCCCAACACAGGAATGGATCTTAAGAACTTCGAGATCATGACCTGAGCTGAAATCAAGAGTCTGTCACTTAACCGAATCGGCCACCCTGGTGCCCGTCCCTTGGGGATACTTAAACCTCTTCCAAATTCTACTTTCAAACCCTCTACTGGCTGTTTCCCTATAGGATATAAACATAGATCCTTCTACTTCAGTATAGAAATAGCAAAAAATGGAAAATTTATCACAATGGTTCCATAATTCCCTTAAGCTTCAGTGAAAGCTAAACTCCATGAAAAACAGCACATAACTCCTCTATACAACTAAATCATTCAACTTCAACCAAGCACAATGAAGCCTTTCTCCACCAGAAGACTAAATCTGAAGTTAAAGTCACCTGAGACTTCAACTGGTCAGATTTGGCAGATTCGTTTAAAGTCTCTGAGATCTCGACGGGGCGCCTGGGTGGCTTAGTCGGTTAAGCGTCCGACTTTCGCTTAGGTCATGATCTCGCGGTCCGTGGGTTCGAGCCCTGCGTCGGGCTCTGTGCTGACTGCCAGCTCAGAGCCTGGAGCCTGTTTCAGTCTGTGACTCCCTCTCTCTCTGACCCTCCCCTGCTCACACTGTCTCTCTCTCTCTCTCCCCTAGAAATAAATAAAAATATTAAAAATAAATAAATAAATAAATAAATAAATAAATAAATAAAGTCTCTGAGATCTCGAACACTGCCCATCACTCTCCTCTGTTTCTGGAAAATATTTTCTGTGGGCTATCCTGCCACGGCTTACCAGGGTTATCTTCTAGACCCATTGAGGCCTCTTCTTCCCTCACACCGCATTGTCACCACAGACTGTAATATTTGTTTTCATCACTTGATCTGCCTTTCTTAAATCCAAAACTCTTCCAAACACTAAGTTCAAAGCTAAACTAACTTTTCCTCCACTATTTACTTTCTCAGGGAAAGCTATCACTATCCACTTAGTTGCCCCAGCCAGAAGGGAGGACATCATCCTATATGACCATCTCCCACTCTACAGAGAATCAGTCACTTGGTCAATTAGATGCTTGGACATCTGACCCCACTATTTTCTCCAATCGAGGCTCTGGTTCAGGTCTTTTTCTCTCTTTGCA